TAAGAAAATTTAAATAAGTGGATTGAACACAAACCGAATTCGTTTTGTGTTAAAATTAATTAATAATAATTAAGGGACAAGAGCCGGGATCGTCTTGTGCTAAGAAAATTTAAATAAGTGGATTGAACACAAACCGAATTCGTTTTGTGTTAAAATTAATTAATAATAATTAAGGGACAAGAGCCGGGATCGTCTTGTGCTAAGAAAATTTAAATAAGTGGATTGAACACAAACCGAATTCGTTTTGTGTTAAAATTAATTAATAATAATTAAGGGAACAAGAGCCGAGTCGTCTTGTGTCAAAAAAAATTTTAATAAGTGAACAAAAACCGAGGTCGTTTTGTGTTGAGCTAACATTAACTAATTGTATGAACGAACGGTAAAGAAAATAATTAAACGAACAAGCGAACGAACGAATTAACGAACTATCAACAATTTCACGGTATCTCATATCAAAAATAGAAGGTAGCAAACCACGATAAGTAAGACATGCTTCTGGGGAATGCACGAAAATTTTACTGTGTCTCTTACCCTACTCGATATACAGTATTGATTTTTTAATATCGAGAGTTGATCATATCATGTGACTCTCGGTATACGTTGGTCATTTATCTGCATTTTAATTTAAACAAATATGTACAGTACATATTAAACAATATACCGTTGACAATTACAACTGAAGTAACACTGCCCTAGAATTGTGGACTAATTTCAGTCAAGTGTTCAAGTACAATTCGCCTAGAAGTACCGATTTTGCGATTTACTGTACACCTATTTAATTTTGCCCGATCTACTTTGACTATTTCGGGTATATCGAGAGTAGACCGTGCATAATTCGGTAATAATTTATTTACCCTGCCTAATTTAGTTCAACATCTCAACATGTTCGTCGTTACAATACTTTAATAGTTGATTTGTCTTAATATAACCAACATTTAACAGTCTGCAATATGGACATTCAAATATTCCAAATCATACTTTAATCTAAATTTTTCACAACCATTACACTCATAATCCCATAACAAATACTATTTCAAAAAAGAAAATCTATATGATCAAATTCACAACAAAAACGATATCATGTTATTAATATATCCGGATCTTCAAAAAATTTTAAAAAATTTAAAGAGTTTGATGATACTATAAGGTTCGAATTTTATGATAAATCGTATTCTTGTTCATTATGTTCAACCTTGTACACATTTTTAGATTTACGCAGTATTTTGTAACAAATCTAACTTATTATGCATTTAATTTATACAGTTTTATGTGATTTGCATAGTAATTTCTCTGATTTGGAATTATTTTTTTCTCTTGTTTGAAAACTGAGAATCTTTTCACAATGACAGATAAACGAGATCGTGCTATTAAATTCAAAACAAATGAAAAATTCGACAAAATTAGCAACAAAAAAAAACAAAAAAGAAAAAAAAACAAAAAACCAACTGTAGGTGTTTCTGGCAATTTTTAGTAAAATTGATTATCTATGTAGTTATTTAGTGAGCGTGAGATTACTTTTAAAAAGCATTATTAATAACTATCACATTATAAATTAAGAACTATCGTTATAGGAATGAAGGTGATAAAGACACGTCAGATAATTACAGTAAAAGCTCATCAGATGGGTATGGTGAAAGCTCATCAGATCAAAATCCATCAACTGATAACCCATCAGATGATAATGAAAGTTCATCAGACAACATTTCTGACAACAATAGCAATGCCGAAAATAATGTGACTAATGTATTTTTAAATTAATATATTTTTCTTTGGTGAAGATTTTTTTCTATTCAACTTTATTTAATATTCACTTTTCATCAGTTAAAAATAAGCGTACAAGGAATTCTGCAAAAGGAGATCAATGTTGAACCTAATTTTCTCAAGATTATTGATGTTTTTAAAAAATATAAAGATACCAATAGTCAAAAAAATGGGTTATTAAAAGAAAACATTATGGATTTAACTCCCAAAAGTAAATTTGTCAAAGAAATTCCCAAGAATATATACGAAGAATTTCTTAATTCATTAAATAAATATGATACATTGATACCAATTGAGACGCATGACTTTTTAGTCAAATTTTTCTCTCAGGTATAAAGATAAGCAATAAAATTAATTATTTTATCACATCTTTATTATCTTTATTTATAATTATTTTCTAATATATATTGTTTTTTATACAATATTAAGGATTTAACATATAATCAATGGACTGAAGCAGTTGATAGATTGTATACAAAGGATTATACAGAAACTACAACTAAAATGGCAGTGAGATTAATAGTCAGAACATTGGATAATTTGTAAGTAATTTAATCTTTATTATATATATTTTATTGTTTTTTTTATATGATGAATACATACGTATAATTAAAATCATGTCTATAAATAATACAAAAAAAATGTTTGTTTAGTTTACAGGCATTTTCTCTTGGAAATATGAATCCACTTCATTCTAAAGATACATTGGAAAAACCATATTTGAATGATTATATACATCCAAGTATTAAATCTGCCTTGTGGCATGGTGCTAGAATTTACTACACATCGTGAGTTATTTTATATAATAATATTATAAAAAGTATTTTATAAAGCAAGTTATTAAAGTTTAATATAAATATGTAGTGGTGAAATTCCTTTAATTAATCACGTCAAGAATCAAAAAGGAGATGGTATAGGATTCAGCACAGGATCTGACAAATACCAATTTGTCTATGTAGAAGGCACACGACCATATAAAGTTAATATGAAAAAAAAAGTTGAAACACAAAATAAGATTGCAAAAAACCTGAAAAAATTATTAATTGAGATCGTGAAAGACCGTGTTAATAATAGAAAGGAAATAATTCCAGAAATGGAAGTATTTGGGATTTCGTGCATAGAACTTACATTGCATTTGTATGTTTTAGGCTTTTCTGGTATGTAGGTAATTCTCCAATTTTATTATATTAAATTAAAACACTTACATATATTATTAATATATAAACAGGCCACTATTATCTTAAAGAAATTGATAATGCAAGAATTCCCAAAGATTTTACTGAGATGACGGATTTTGTATTTTTTTTTGAAGCCATTTTAAAATGGACTGTAGGTGTTTTAGATTTTATAAATTATTATTATATAATTATTTTTCCTAAATAGTGTTTTGTTTTTTTAATAGATTCTAGTAGGCGATTGTTTTAAGAAGTTAACCGATAATTCATTAAAGAAAAGGTCATCACGTGTCTCATTTGGCCTGAATGTAAGGCCGGTGCCAGATAAATTTGATCATTTTTAACTTTCCTGTTGATATCCAGCATGTAAATTAAGTGATCACTACCCCAGATGGATGTACAAAAGAGAATAATGGCTAATAAAGAACACACACATGAAGTATATGTAGCGGTGCAAATATTTACTTGTGGAATCAAAAGTTAATTTAATTTATTAATCTAACCTGAATTTAATAATAAAATACTGTTACGTGACATTTACGATACTACATATAATGAATTATGCCTCAATGATTGGATAATATGAGGTTTATTAGCTAGAAATCATGACATAAATTATATATGTGAAACGCACTCTTTGAATTGATATATGTGAATCGCACTCTTTGAATTGATATATGTGAATCGCACTCTTTGAATTGATATACCGGTATGTGAATCACACTCTTTGAATTGATATATGTGAATCGCACTCTTTGAGTTGCGCCAGATTTGTGACACAGATTTCCTGAACTACAAGATTTTTATCAAAAATCGGTTATTTATCAAAACCTGAACCATCTTTAGTACTCTGATAAACAGTTTTTTTTCTTGCGCGAATTTACAACATAATTACTCTTGTCTAACCATAATATAGACGCATAACTCTAGCATAAAGAACTTTTAAGAATTTTGTCTACGCCACACATCAAGAATTGCTGTAACTTCAGTCACATCATCTGCAAATAACCATAATGAGCTATTAATTTCTGCCGGATAACCAAAATAAACAATTTTTTTCTGCATAATGATCTGTCGACAAACAAATTATTTCCTTAATGTATGCGTACAGTACGTACGTACGCATGTACAACTTATAATTATTCCTAGCTATGGACTAACGATTTTCAGAAGTTTGGCTATCTGACTAGTTCCTGAATTGAATTGCACTTAATTTTGAAATTTAATCTTGGCGATAAGAAATTTTGACATTAGCGATAAGAAATTCTTTATAAAAATTTGAAAATTTAACCTTAGTGATAAGAAATAAAACGAAACAAATTGTATAAATGGGTCATGAATAAAAATCCAGTCGGGCAATCATGTGACTGCAACTTTGATCAATGTAATTATGGATTTTTCTATTTTATACTAAACGGATTGGTCATTACTTTGTTGGCTTGAAATTGTACCATAGGATGGAGAATCTTCATTATTAATACTCTCCGGTATATCTACCGGCATATCTTTAAATATATAGCATATAAAACCGAAAAGAGCCTATATAGAAAAGAACTGAAATTAGCAAAAATGATGTTTATATAAAAATATACAAAAAATTTTTTTTTACGAACCCAAATAAGATAATCAGATAACAATGATGATGTAACTGCAGTTAACCTGGCACTGAGTAAATTGTATTCACAAATTAGCAAATCCAGCCTTGTTTTGGGGTTCATTCTTTTACAAATAGCTTCAGCATCAAAATGATCATGAATAAACCAGCCGCTAACATAAAATATAAAATATCCTACAAAAGCAGCAACAAGCACTACAAAATAATAAATTTATTACTTTTTAAACAGATTAAAAGTAAGATTAATAAAAAAAATTAGCAGACCTTGGATATTGCTACCAATCACGCCACCAATCAGTATTAATAGCAAAACAATGATCTCAGCAATGCATATAATCAATTTAAAAATTATCTCAATATCTGTAGAAACTATTATGCCAAGATAAATATAGTAATAAGAAGCGATAATGTTGGCGATCTATATTATTGACAAAAAAAGGATAAGAAACAAATATATACAGTATTTTTTTATTAAAAAAAAAGGTAAAAAATTACAATTCCAAGACCAGTCACAAGGATAAGAGGTGCTCTAAATAACAAAATTATATGTAAAAATTGTTCAAAAATAGAAATTCAAAAATTTAGCATAGCCTCTACTTACTTACAAACGCGGAGATTATTCATGGTGAAAAAGAACAACCGAACAAAATAGCATGTATAATTCAAAACAGTTGAGACCTTTTTTATATGCCAAGTATTTATGGAGACAATTCTCTGAAAATCATTTCACCGACATATTAGGATTAGAGTTAGTGCTTTATTTTCAGTGAAATGACTGTCGGAGAAACCATATCAAATTTCAGTTGAGATCATTGAAATCGTAATTCGGAAATGCTACAAATGGTTAAACGGTTAACGCCTACTGTTGTAAGTGGGAACGAAATTTTAAGCAGATTTGGAATTTCTTTGTATAAATCTACAACCAAACTTAAAATCCCAAGTAAATCCAAATCCACTTAAATTTCGTTCCCATTTGCAACATCTATATTTGTACTTTAGTGTAATAAAAGCATGTATATTTATGAATTTCTATTTTTGAACATTTTTAACTTTCCTGTTGATATCCAGCATGTAAATTAAGTGATCACTACCCCAGATGGATGTACAAAAGAGAATA